AAGCAAACTCGGGGAAAACAAGAATGGAGCAAGACCAGCAAAAAGGAGACGCCTGGATCAAGGATCTACCACTAACCGGAAGAAAAGGGATCGCGATGAAAAAAAGGGGGGGGGCAAGGGTTTTCGGCAATAAAGCGAAGACGTTGCCAGTGAGTGATGTCAATTTGGAATAAACCAGTACAACTTTTGGGGGCTGTCAACAAAGGAGCAGGGCAGATGGATAAGCAAACCGTCACGGAAATTCGGCCAAAATGTACTAGAAATCCACTTGAGATGCCGCATGCGACCAGAGATAGGCGTCCACTGATCGCTCAGATAACATGGGTTTAATCAAGGACCCGTGAAGGAAAGGCCTGATATCCGCAAGCATGGCAACCAGAGCTTAGGAGCTCTGCTCAGTGAAGCGGCAGTGTACGTGCTTCTAGGGCCTTGAGAAATAGAGTCTGGAATGAAATGCACACAGGGATTGGAACCTAGTGAAATCTGTTAACCAGAAAGATAAGTAACGGATCTACGAGAAAATGAAGGGATCCGGATTGGAGGCCAGAGTCGAAAGAGAGGGTTCGGGGTAAATGGCAAGTGTGATGGGGTCACACTAGATTTACCACAAAAGGGTACACATTTTGACGAGGGGAATGTAAACAAGTGAGAATTTGTGATAGGGCTGCAGTGGAATAAGAGGGTAAAGAGTAGATAGATAGGTTAGGACAGAAAGAGGAGTGATAGTGTAATCGTTTTCGGCAGAACGTTTGCCGAGGGATTGACTTCACTTGTCCCTTTGACTAGTTCGTAGCTTGGTGCGGCGAATGGCAAAACTCACTGATGATTCCGGAAAAACGTTTGAGAACACACCAAGTCCACTGTCTGATGCTGGGAATCATAGCAACTACTATGGCAGACGACTTCGGACTAGGTGCATTCTACTAAGTCTCCCTGAAAACAAGACCAAGTTGCGACAACGAGGTCAACCCAATTCTATTCAGCAGAAAGTTGGCCAACAATGGCAAAACTGGCTGACGATACATACGAAACTTCTGGAAATTTACCCAAATATCAGTTAGTTTATGGGAGGAGACATTATAATAACGGCAGATGACGCAGAACGGTCTACGCTTCTCAAGGTCACCTGACATCATGACCATTTTGGCAAATCGAAGTGGGCTTTATGCAAACTTTTTAATGCTTTTCCAGAGTCCCATCAATAGAGCCTGCATCGAGGTCTTTTGATGTTGAGTTTAGTTTGAAAAGAAGAATGGTAGGTATTCGTAACTTGGCATCACTGGAACCTGAACGAGGATTGCTTTGCAGTGAAAACTGTCGAATTTTGCATACAAAGGCATCGACTCATAGTCCGGCGATCTCAAGAAATCTAAGCTAGCTATTGTTTGTCAAGTGACAGACATCGTCAGAGCTAAAAAGCATTACTTGCGAGAAATTCACCGAAAAGAACAAGCCACAAAAGTTTGCCTAATAACGAATAAATAATTTTGCCATCTTTCTGAGGCATCCCATGATTTGGTAGGCTACTTCTCTCATACCTTAGATGCTTCAGTTGATGAAAGTTGATGCAGGAGAAGGATATGAATCTGGTCACAGCCGCTCACTTGCATATACAAACTATCTCTGGGTCCTGCAATGCTGATGCAAATCCTGGTTTTACGGATGTATGTGCGCTGTGTTTATGCAGTATTTATGAGTAGTCTGATAGGTTAGAGCTCGAACCAGACTCCAGGTTAGTCATGTCTACTTTTGCTTGGTAACTCGTCCTGCTTTCTATCCTATTTTCCCTTTCTTTTCCTAATTCAATCCAGTAGTCAGAGCTAATTTCCGGTTCGAGTTCCTCCTGCTTTGTCAAGTTTTGCGCAATTTCTTACCCATCGTTTGATTTTAGGCCAATTTATCTGGCCTCGTGCTGACGCCGCCTTCGAGTTATGGACCCATAAACACTTGCAGACGCTTTTGCATTGATATGAAGAAAAACTGGGTTTCGAAGAATTCGTAAGATCACATCACGAATTCCTTCTTACCAACTTTTTCTTCGAAATGGAAAGTCATGCCACACGTTTTTGCGTTGGGACAGCCCTTTTCTATATGGGTCGACAAGTCTCCCCCACATAACAACTCGATCTTCTAAGGGGCTCCAAATATTCCCTAAGAGGTCTGACTGAAAAGTGTTAGTTATTCTCTTCAAAAATTATAAATAATATATTTTTTCAGTAACTCGTCTTTTTAGCAATCTGGCGGCATCATGAATCGGGGGTTTCTATTTTCTTGGCACAAATGTGATTGCTCACGTTGAATAGGAGAAAAATCTTGATTTTTGCATTGTTCTTCATTTTACATTGCATGCCAACTGGTATTGTTTACTGAGCCCTGTACTGTATTTTCATTCTCGTCTCTTTGTCTGATCACAAACTCGAACGATGTTCTGAATCAGAATTTGAACATGCAGCTGAATACGACACGCACACCTTTCACAACTCACCACCCAAAGGGCATCCTTCAGGGTTCGAGTCTCGTCGAAGGGGCTGAGGTGAGCAGAGGAGGGGAAACGGTGATGTGAGTTTCTATGCCAAAATATGGTCTTTTTTTCAACGTCTCCTCGAAAGATTTAATCAAGCAAAACCCGCTGCACCTTGACAACAGTCTGCTCCAGATAGTCCAGCCTTACCCTGTTGTCAACTTCAATGTTCTCACTGTGGGTGTGCATGTCCATTCTCGCTGTTGACGTGTCTCCTTTCTCATGGGCGGGTCCATACTAGAATAAGCCCCCATGTACCTACTAGCCTTGGCAATAGTAGGCGCTTGATTGATGTTGTCAGGACGGCTTGAGGCTATCGATTGCATGAGCCGAACCCTTCGAGTGATGGACTTTTGTGAGCTGAACCACTTTATCAACATCAGCTGCCCTACTGACGCTCTGTAGCCTGGAGAACGATACCAAAACACTATTTCAACTGACTGATAGGTCGGGTGGTGAGCAGCCGGTGAGCTTGGCACAATTCTATTATTAGTCCAGAATCTATTGATGCATAATTGAGTTGGCGTACTTTAAGGCCCATTACGAGGCGGCGAAGAAATAGTGACAGTCAATAGTCAAACTGTTTGTTCTATCCACTCTCGCAACAGTTTGCGTCGATGTTGTCATAAGCGTGGCCTGTGGACAACACGTCGCGACTGCAGCACCGCAAGAGACTGGGACAGGCTGTACACCCACTGGATTCATCGAGCCCCGAGGAGCGTGTGTGTATATTTGTGTCGAGAATGAGACTGCAAAGATTGACGAAGATGACCATTGCGAAGTAATTGTTCACTTGGCCTTTTAGACCGAGAAAGAAGACCAAATTCCCTCTCAGAAATCGATGGTGCATTTGACATTTGGGTAAAACTAGTTGGAGAGTTGAGTTGTGTCTTGTTGTCATAGCTACGTCGAAGAAGGTATTACGAAATAACTAGTCTGCTGTTTTTGGTATGTCTCATTCTATCTCCATAGTCAGCGTCGTCAGTGCTAAGAGCCGACGCAAGCAACAGGGTACAACTAGTCAAAAGTGACCAATTTTCTGTCCCAAAATTGTGACATTTCCCTCCCTCATTGTAC